TATATATATAATATGTTTCTTTCAATTTCTTAATTTATTAATATAAATATTTTTTGAAAAAATTATATAAAAATTTACAAAATTTTTAACAATTATTAACTTATTGCTTCATATTTTTTCTTATATGATATAATGAACTGTATTCTATTTGAAGAAAAAAATTGTCAAATCAAATACATTGAAGATTATAATAATAAATAATGAGAAATTATAAAGTTAATTAAATTGTATACAGGATGTTAATATATTTTGGAACATCTTTGAAAAATTGATTCCAAAGATTAGAATTAATACAAAAGTTGTTGTATAAAAATCTTGATTGAAGCTTATTTACTAATTATTAATAATAATTATTAATAATTAAATAATTTGCTTACATTATGAGCAATTAAAATTTATGTTAGATGAAAGAAATAGAACTATAGAAATTTTTGTTTATTTATATACATTAATTTTTATGTTTATTTTGACTTTTATATATTTGATTCAAAGATAATCCACAAATATATTAACACTTTTGAGTAATGATATGTTATCAGAAAATATAATAATATTATTTTGTAAAATAATAAATTTAAATTATAAGATTCTTTTTTTTAACTACTTTTCTTCTTTATCACGACATAGAAGATTGTTTATTTCAGGTTGAAGAAATTCCATTACAATAGCTAATATCATTTCATCAAGAATAGTTTTTAATACTTCAATATCTCTGTAATTTTATAAAATCTTCAAAAATTAATAAACTTATATTAAAATTATTAAAAATATAAACAACTTACTGTTCTTCGGGAGATGCACATAATTCACTATAATATTTAATTTTAGGTTCAGTACCACTAGTTCTTAATGTTACAACTAAACCATTTTTAAATGTAAATGTTATCATTTGATTAGATTTTGAAATAGGTAAAATGGCCTTATTTTCTGGTTTTGTATTGTCATAACCAGTTGTTAAATCACGAATACCTATTATGGGATACTTTCCATTGAGAATATTTGTTGGATACTAAAAAATATTTAAAATTAAAGTAATATAATAATAATATTTTAAATATGTATTGTCTTACTGTATTTGGTTTTCCCAAATATGTCCGTAATCTTTCAAATATTTTCTTGATTATATTTGGTTCATGACATATACAATATGAATTCTTAGATATATGATATCCATATCTAAATCAAATATATACATGTCATAAATAAATACAAAATTATAAAATTATAAATTATAATTATATTATCATTCATATTAATAAATATTTCTAATATAAAATATGACAGAATTAAAACATTACATACTGATTATATATTTCATTTAACTTGTCATGCAGAGTTAATCCCATAGTTTCAAGATAAGCAGCTAATTCTGCTATATGCATTCCAGCGCTTATGCCATCTTTATCAAAAACTTTTGAACCACACATAAATCCAATAGCTTCTTCATATGCAAATAGAACTATTTTACCCATTTTTTCTAATTCTATACTTTTATTACCCATCCATTTAAAACCTGTTAATGTTTCCTTTTGAAAACAAAAGAAAGTATATGATAACAAAAATAACAAATATTTTAATTTTATTTTTAACATACATACTTCAAAATTAAATCCTTCTTGTTTAGCCATTGATGCTAAAATTTTACTTGAAACTGTAGATGCCAACATATATACATTTGAAAAGTCTGTATCAGTATGTTGTACTTGATATTTATGTATCATCCACCAACCCAAAAGTGCTCCCAATTCATTACCAGAAAAAATATACCATTCATCACTATTAAAATAATAAAAAATAATAAAAAAATAATAAATAATAATAGAATTATATAAATATTAATGAAAAATATCATACTTCTTCATTTTTGTAGCACAAGCTACTCTATCTGCATCTGGATCATTGGCAAGAATAATAGAAGAAGAATTTTTATTTGCTACTTGTATGCTAAGATCTAGAGTACTTTTTCCTTCTTCAGGATTTGGAAATTTCACAGTTGGGAATTCTGGATCAGGTAATTTTTGTTCTTCCACTATTATAAATGGCTGTAATGAACAATAGCTATTGAAAAAAAATATAAATTAAATAAAATAATTAAAATAATATAAAAACTTTTTTAATGTTTTGTTTAATTTATTTATGTTTATTAATACGTTTGTTTAATATGTTTATTAACATGTTTATTAATAATTTGATTAAAGCTGAATTATAAAAGTTTATAATTCAATAAATCTTATTTAAAATAAATTTATATATAATAAGTATAAAAAAAGTTATAATAATACCTTAAAATTTGCAGCATTAAAAGCTGCAGTCATGTATTGATATCCAACTCCATGCATAGGAGTGTAAGTAAATTTTAATATTGTATTTTTATTTACTTCTGGATATAAAACAGTTTCTTTGAGATCATTAAAATAAGATTGCATAACATTATCCCATGGATTTAGATATAAAGAATTTTCATAAATTTTTGTTATATTCCATGAAGATTCCATTGGTTCCAAATGATTAAATATATATTTTTGGATTTCTTTATCATGTGGTGATATTATTTGTGCACCATTCTCCCAATAAACTTTATAACCATTATCATTTTTAGGATTATGAGATGCTGTAATCATTATTCCAGCAGCACATTTATATTTTAATATACTATAAGGTATAAATGGAGTTGGTACAACTTTTGAAAAAAGATAGACTTTTATATTTCTTGCCATGAAAATTGCAGCAGTTAATTCTGCAAATCTAAAATAATATTGTAAAAATTTTATTTAACATTAATAATATTCAAATATATATAATATATATACAATAATTATTATATAAAATTTATGATTATTAATGACTAGAAATTATAAATTAAATAATTTTACCTTTTACTGCAATGACGTCCATCATATCCTATTATGATACCTTTTTCAGTTGCATCAACTATAGTATCAAGTAAATACATTGATAAGCCTTGACCAGTTTGAATTATAACTAAATCATTTATTTGATTATATCCTGGACCCATACGACCTCTTAAACCAGCTGTACCAAATTCAAGTCTTTTTAAGAATAAGGAAGATAATACTTTATTATTATTATTAAGGATGAGTTCTTGAATTTTATGTTCATGAATTACATCCTAAAAAATATTAAACATATTTTTATAATTAACATATCTATTTGAAATATAATATATATATTAAATTGTATTCAAAATATTATATTAAAAACCTTGTTCCATTTCAACCATTCATTGATTTTATTATCCAAATCAATATTTCCAGTATTAACAGAAATTTTTAAAGCCATCTTAAATATTTTTCAGCAATAACCTAAAATATAAAGTGCAATTATGAATAAATATTTAATAATATTATTGAAATTAATTATATTTAAAAATATTATTGATGAATAATAAAAAAATAAATTTGTATTGTATAAAAAAAATATTTTTATATTATGAATACAGGACAAATAAGTAATAATTAATTAGAAATTAATTAATTAATTAAAAATAATTAATTTTAGTTATTAAAATTAATTATATTTTATATATTTTTCTATTATGATTATTAAATTAAAAAAAAATTTTTTTTTA